AGTCCATCGAACAGAAACTAACTCATTCATACACATTCACACACCAATGCTATGCATCGGGAGCAATTTGGGGTTCAGTATCTTGCTCAAGGATACTTCGACATGTGGCCCTCATAAAATTAAATATCCATAAAATATGTCACTTAGTCAGGGGTCGTCAGTTTATGAACTGATAGAAAAGGGGTCCTTTAAGGAAAAAGGTTGGGAACCACTGCTTTATACCATTTCTTCCAAATCAAGTATACTTCCGTAGATAGCTGAAGATAGCTATAGCCAAGAGCAGCTGGGTTATATGAGATCTGTGCCACTGTGATGAACCCAGACAGCACCCTGGATTTTGCTCATTATTATATGGTGATACTTCTTCAAAGTAGCCTTTTCCAGGTCCAGGCTGCAAAGTCATTCAATTTTCAGAACTTATTACACTGTTCCCTGTCAGTGAATTGAGCAATCAATGCCATTAGAAATCTGATGACCACACACACTTTCACACTTATGGACCATAAACAGAAGCCCCCGTACATTGTACAGATCATTGCATCGCATCGTTTACAGGAAAACATTACAGCGGGCCGACAGCACTGCAAGTAATAAGGACAAGAAGCAACAACAGCACTAACATTATGTGAAGTGTAAGAGCGTTGATATGACATCAGTCACAGACTGCATCCACAGAGAAACTGGTGAAAAGGTTTTTGTTCTCACCCAGTTATGGTAGTACTACTTATTGGAGCACTGCACTCACTTACAATCGCACTCCAATAACACTGTTGGACTTACAGTGGACAGTAAAACATTTTGATACTGTTTGTGATGTTGTTGCCCTGGACATGTGAGATGCTTCTAGTATTTTTTCTGCTTTATGTAAAAGTGGTGGAAACATTTCTAAGTGTTACACCGAAAGGTCTTGCCAGTGCTTAGAAATGTTTCCACCACCATAAAGTAGCCTACCGCTTTTAAGGTCCTCTGTGTAACATAGAGGAGGATTTAGTGGAAAAACACAAGGTTCATAGGTATGTTTTCATTAGTGTATAAAAACCTGAATATAGCAGTTGTTATGCTTTCGTTACCTTGGAATGAGCTGGTTTTTATCTACAGACACTGTGGGTCGCGTTCCATGTTTCTACAGTAGCCCAGAACGGACAAGTTTTTTGTGGCCACCATATTTTCTCCTACACGCTTCACAGCCCGAGCGGTGTTCAGTTAGTTGCAATCTGAAACTTCACCGCTAGATGGCACTAAATCCTACACACTGGCCCTTTAAATCATACCCTAAACAACTATTTTGATAATCATTTTGAGAAAAAAAAAGTCAAAGTTTTCTGATTTTCAGCTTCTGAAATGTGAATATTTTAATTTGTTTCTTGAGGGGTGGCAAAAGTACACACATTCTTTACTGAAGAATATACTCCGGTAGAAAAGTAAAAGATATTCTCTTGATTTCTTTGAAGGACATTTCTCCTGGCTGTTTCTCTGCATTCTGTTGTGTGTCGGTCTCTACTGCAGTACAAATATCTGTCATTTAGGAGTAGTAAAAGTTGACAGAAAAGAAATACTCAACCAGCGTACACCTGAACAAATGACTTAAGAACAGTAACAAGTATTTGTACTACCACCTCTAGTGTCAGTCTAAAAGTTTGGACATTTTATGGACCAAACAACTAATTAAGAAACTGATTGACAGATGAATCAATAATGGAAATAACTGTTAGTTGCAGCCCTAACTGACATTGCACTCCTATAGCACTGTTGGACTCTGGACAATGGAGAGTAAAACAAAAGCAGAGATATAGTAGTGCTGGGCAATATACCGGTATACTGGTTTTAATTTCTCGTAGGACATGAATTGAAACATCTGCTGTAACTCGTTTCTTGTGCAATAGAACATTTGAGAAATATCTCTCTGAATACTTACATACTTGGAGAATTTTATGTCAGTTTATAGTGTTTATACATCTATTTTTATTTGGTTTTGAAAAGGGAAGCAATGTTAAAGTTGTATTAGGTTTTATTCATTTTCATTCATTTATTCATTCAAATTGTGCAGTTGCAGTTTCTGTAGCTGTTTCATACATCCGGATTCCCTCATATATTGTATCTTTATGTGGGACCTGACAAAGCTGTAAGTATATGCATGGTGACATTCAAATGTGTTCATATTCTATGTACATCTGACAGTAGAATAAGCCACTATAAACATATATAAAAAGGCCCAGTCGTGAAAAAATAAAGAAATAAATACCTTATAGACAGTAAACCACCAGAATCTTGAAAAATACTGTGGTACACATTTTTGGTCATACTAAGATTTTCTTTCTTTTTTTTTTTTTTAATTGTAGTTTTTGTTGTTGTATATAAGTTTCTATGCACTGATCCTTTCACTGAGAAGCAGTCCACACCATAAAGTACCACACACCATAAACTTAATGAACACAGTCAGCACTGATCTTGAGTTGGGTGGTGCTTATTAGGACTGCATGATACGGTAAAAACATCATATTGCCATTATTCGGACAGATATTACAATATGATTTGCAATTAGTACGGGGATGATCATTTTTGCATTACAAACTTAATGTTAATAATAATAATAATAATAATATTAAAATCATGATTATGTGAAATACTTTGGAGTCTGTACTAAACAAAAAAACGGAGAACCAGATTTGTAGTCCTGGGCATCTCTGCATTAATACAGTCCTCACATTTGACCTTGATCAAACAATTGCAGCTTTTGGAGTTTGCATATGGCACTTGGCCATATTGCCAATTCGATTATATTGCGAATAACTGTGCAGCCCCAGTGTTTATTGCAGTTCTAATGGAACAAAACACATCACATTGATTTCCTCAAAACTGTTTCTAACAAAAGAAAAAAACGAAGTTAGTAAGCCATCACGAGGACATTTTAACACAATGTAACGACTATGCACATGTTTATAAACAGCTCGTGAAGCACGGAACAACCTAATCCACGTTTCAAATACCAGCACAGCGATACATGGACGGAAAACATACCTAAAATCGAAGAAAAACCTAAGAAAAACATTTAGGCCACTAAACTATGGTTTACTTGGAGTGATGTTATATATCCTATGCGTGTCACTTAGGCTACTTGTATTAAGCATTGGCGGGCTCTTTGATACCGTAATGGGCTGCAGGTGGGGGTTAACCGAGCAGTAACTTAGTGAAGTGAAATACAAAGAAAAAACGACAACAAAACAATGTTTAACGCGACACAACGTGTAGAAGTGACCTTTTATAAGACAAACATCGCGCGACACTTTACACAATGTAGCCAACAGTGCGCGTGTGTGTTTATAAACAGCTCGTGAAGCACGACACAAACTAACCAGTTAGTCAAATCAAAGCGGAATGGCCCCGTGCCGCCACTGCTACTCTAACAGCACACACCGAGTCACTCTCTTCTATTAACGGGCCGGTGTCCGTTGATTTAAACAACTGCATTTATATATAAAAAAAGGAACACAAACAACAACAAACATTAAGAGGTTACCTGGCTCTGCTTGCTCTCCATCATCTCCACCGTTAAGTTCACGCGGACAGTGACGCCGCACCTGGAGCCCTCTATTGGCCAGGAAATGCCACTGACACCAGCCCACATCCTCGGGAGGGGGAACTCAGTTCAAATTTGAGCAAAAATAAGAACAGGAAAT